TTTTTTAAATATTATATGTATTTATTACCCTTATTTTTAATTCTAAACATTTATACCTAAGTAATTTTTAAGCTAAGAAGTAAAATGCGAATAGTGGAAAAAATGTTTAAATATCTTCAAAACTATATTGTACAAAGTAAAAAAAATTGTAAGAATTGTATAAAATAAAATGTCTAATAAAATATATTACTTATTAATATCAATCTATAAAATAATGCAAAGGTAAATAAAATATATACAATGTTTTACCAAGAGATATTAGAATTGTATCAAAAAGAGCGATTAAGAAATAATCTAAAAATAATTTTTTATACTGGGTAAAAAATATCATTAAAAATTAATATTTCTATGAAAATTAAATTATTAGTTTATTTGTCATATGGTCTTTAGCAATTTCTTCTTATACACTTTTCATGACTGGTAGTAAGAAGAGGTGTGCATTGGTGGGGGGGGGGGTTCAGCCTGCCTGCTCATCTAAGTAGGCGGGTGAGCTCGTGGGTTAAAAAAATTTAAAGAACGGATGGGCGGGTTTAGAACAATATTCTATAAGTGAGCGAGCAGGCAGGTTAAAAAATTTTTATTTATTATATAGGATCTGCTCCCTGGGTATATATCGAAAACATGTTTAATTTGATTTTCATGGAAGAATATAACATCAACGTGGACGAAAATCTGATTTTGCCAGTTTCCCCAAAAGCAAATAGAATTCGAATAAAGATTATTAAACTATAAATGCAATGTTTAAAAAAAATAGCATTCACTTAAGAAAAAATGGTAAGATGTGATTGTTATAGAGGATAGCATTTGATAACAAAATATTTAAATTTCAAAGTAACGTTTTGTATATTTTAAAAGATTTTAGGATAATTAGTTTCGTTTAAGTTTACAATTTATTAACAATATTAAAATTACTTATTTTATTTATTATTTATTAATGATTCACTTTTTATTTAAATATCTCATTTGAATAGAGGATATACTTCAAACGCATATCGTACTTTTATAAAAACGACAAGAAAAAGATTAATCAAAGCTATCAAGATTAGCCAGAAAAATATTAGCAATTCCAGCAACCAGTGCTTCTTCTGAACGAGAAATTAGCATTGTTGAAAGATTTTTAGCATCAATAAATATTCATATTTTAATATTACATAAAAATTTTATTAGATCAAAATTCCTTATTCGTAATTTATATTGAATATTTTTTTTAATATAGCAATTTCTTAAATTATAAAACTTTTGGGATGTCGCACTGAAACTGAAACGATCTTTTTTTATTAAATGCTTAAAAAAATGAAAGAATGAGTTTATTTAAATTTTATATGGGTGGCGTGGGTTAAAATTTTTTATAAATGATGGGCGGGCGGGTAAAAAATCCTTTAAGAACTTACCATTCTTCTATGGAATTTTGGATAAACCATCGGGACGTTTACCATCAGCATCACAAAGTTCAGTCGGCTCAGAGGTTGGAGGAATTTCAGATTTTAATGCACCCAATATAGTGTCATTACATTTAATATGTCTTAGGAATCTGTCTCTACATCGTTTACATGTAGAGTGACGACCTTTCGAGTCAATGGAAGTCTGACAAAGTGAGCATAAATGGTATAACCATATCGAATAAGTCTGAGTCCTATGTCACGCCTTAGTTTATCGTTTGTAAATAACAAATTAAGTATTTGAAGGGATGGCTTCAAGAAATTCATAACTGTTTTCTGATGAAGTTGAAAAGGGAAGGGAATGCTCAACAGGTTAACTTCTCGATTTGAGAAATGGGATGGAAGTTGCCAATTAAGGGTAAATCCCAAGCTCCTTGCAATGACTTTGAAGAATGATCGACTAGGGAAGATGACTTCAAAATACTAAAAAAATATACAATAAAATAATACTTTATTTCATAAAATACATTCTACAATTTTTGTATAATGTTTAAAAAGAAAATTTATGCTTTTCTTTTTGTTTTAGACCTATCATCACATATGTGACTCCGTATTTATTCCATCAGTCTTTCGCTTGGACACACTCTAAATGCATATGGTTAGAGGAAGAGTAGTTGAGAAGAGAAACTGAGAAATTAAATCCAAGTAAACAGGGGTAATTAAGTAAACAAGCTATTGTGAAAATAAAAAATACTGCGTATAGATTAATAAGTATATATTTTAAGAATCCCGGGAAAAAAACCCACGGAAAAAACCCCCAGAAAATTAGTGTCGCGTTACTTAGCGCGCTATCTTTTTTGGTAGTCTAATAGCGGCTACTTATTATTTAATCATTCAATTTTTTAGCCCGCTAAAAAGTATAACAAGAAAATATAAATGTAATATCATAATTAATTATAATTTTTATGATTTATTATTTAATTTTGAAATAGAAATATATTTTCAATTTGTAATTTATATTTTATTATAAACCTAAATCACGTGTTAATAATTAAAATGTCATCGCCTATGGATATTCAAATCGTTGAAAGTGATTCAGACAATGATGAAATGTAAGATACCAGGGAAGAAAATGTTCTTAATATCTATAATACAAATTTCCCATTCCCTAGATTTGAAAATTTTTTTTAAATAAATAAAAATCAAAACTGGCTTCAAATTTATTTGTTTAAAATGTAAAAAAATATTTCCTCAAATCTATCCAGTAGTTATAACCTATCACTTAAAAATAAATTTTTACATTCTAATAGTATTTATTTTATAAGACTGTTCATGCCAATAGTTTAAAGGAAATGGAGAAACATCTAAATAATTTTGGCATAGGCGACTCTACATCCAAAAAGACTAATTCAATTTAGACCAAATTAATTAATAATACAAATGCCAATATTTCTCAGAAATTGGCTGATAAAGTTATTGTTGATTTTATAATTGATAATTCAGCCAATGTCCTTGGTTGATAATCCATCATTTACCATGATAATTAAAACTCTATACCCTGGTACAACAATTTTATGTCGCCAGACATTAATAAATAAAATTTCAGATAACTTTAAAGTGATGAAAGATTCTCTAATAGTAGTTATCAGAGATATCATATATATGTACCAAGGCAGATAGTTGGACACATAACAGAAGGTAAAAATTTATAAAATGCAACAAATTACCATAAATATTTATTTTTATTACATGCATTTTTTAATAATCAAATCTAACTATATTATAATATTAATAAAGTTTATTTTAATATATTTACTATACAATAACATTATAAGCAAAAAATAAAACAAATTTGTTTTATTTTTTATTTAAAAAGTAGCTACTAGCTGGCTTACTTTTTTTGACAGGTAGCGGTAGCGCGCTAACAACTCTGCAGAAAATAAATCCACAGGAAAAAAACCTAGGAATTTTTTTTCATATTTATAAAATTTACTTAAGACTAATAATATAGGTATATTTTATTTGGATTATAATGGATATACTCATATTTATAATGTAAGGACAAAATAGTATTTTTGAAAAAAAATATTATAAAAATACAATATATTAATAAGCTAAATTTTTTTAGGCCCTAATTCATTATTTAAAGATTACTCATACCTCCATAAAAAATGCTTAAAGATAAAATGCTGAAGTTTAAATTGGTACTGGGAAAAAATATTTTTCCTATTACCATTTTAAAACGATGTACATATTACCAAAACAAATTTACTGAGTATTGCTTGCCACAATTTTATTTTTTATTCTTATTTTGTATACAACTATTTTATGATAATTTTATTTTATACATTCTTATTATGTACTTTTCCTCATGATTTTGATAAAATAAAAAAATTATTTGAATGATTGAATAAAATCTCACTTTTTAACTAAGAATATAACAGATGGTACAATATTTTTTGGGCGACTGTCTATGTAGGGCAAATGACTTGATCCTAACCTCGCCCAAATTAGATAGGTTAGACTATATCAAAAAAAACTTTCAAGATCTTTGAATAATTTTATAATTTATCGAAGTTTCAAGCGTGAGTTCTAGGACAGAACCAACATGCAAAAACGAAATATAATTTTTTTTTTAAAAATGACTTTTTTATTTGCAAAATTTTCAATCTTTTCAATATTCAAATTGTTCAAGATGTTTTTCTTTCTCTATTAATTGAAATAATAAATAATTATCCATTTCCTGTGTCTCATGTCAACATTAATTAAGTTTTTACTATTTTAAATCTATAAAAGCTTGTTTTCGCATATGGCACCCCGGACAAATACCTGTAAAGTCCAAGCCTCCCCTTCTTTTTCCATATCTTCGTTTCCCTTCCTACCTTTTTTTACCCTTATATTTCAATTCTCTCCTCTGATGCCCATTTAAAAACGAATAAAATAATTTGTATTTGATTTTTTGAACGAATCGTATACTTTATTAAACGTTATATACCGATCAAATAAAAATAGAATATGAATAGCAAATGAATAATTAGCTAATTCCGATATAATGGGCAGTGGTGATGTAAGATTTACTCGTTCACTTTTTTTTAAATTAAAAATCACCCATCCACATATTTATTTAAAAATATTTTCAACCCATGCACCCAATGTCTAAAAAAATTTTAACTGTGAGCAGCCAGGCTTAAACCTGTCAGTTATAGACTTTTTAGTCAGAATCGCTATTAGGGGTAAAAAAATGTTTGGTGGTAAAGATGGTACTTCATCTACCTAAGAATATTATTCAAGCCATTTAACCTCAGAATTTTCTTTTAAAATTTTCGTTAAATAATTTTTTGTTTTTCCGCCGTTTTTTATACTTAAAAAAAACTTCATTTGTTTTTATTAATCATTTATTTTTAGATTCCACGCTATATGTAAAGCGCTGATGGGGAGATGCATAATATTTTAAAAATAAATTTATCGATAGAAATGAATTTTTAATTCAATTGGCAAAAATAGGCGTTTTTAAACTTTTTCAAATCTGGTCCATTCGTTAAGTTACAATATATATTTTTTTCTTTATAAAATAAATATAATTACATTTGTAATCCAATATAATATTTCAAACAATCTCATTCCACAAGCTTAATTCTTTATACATATATATATGTACATAATAATGTATATATGATTGAGACAAATGAGGTTTTTTTAATATCATTTTTTCTTTTCTTCAGCCATTTCAATTTTGATATTGTTCACAGAATCAATTAGTTTGTCCGTCTCGTTAAGATCCTTCTAAAAAAAATTACGAGTTGAAATAATTAAGTTATAATATTTTTTAACCCAATTAAGGGAATGGTAAATTTTTATGGAATTCGTGAGAACATAAAGTTTTAATTCTGTTTTTAAATTTGAAAAATCGTATTTTCCAGCATATGTGAGGTAACCTATCCTACAAATTTCAGCTAATTTGGCGCGAACAATTTATCAGAACTTTAAAAAAAAATACACAAAGCACGTCATAAATTCATATGTTAAATAAGATTTTTCAAATTTTAAAAATCGGTTTTGTAGATCATTTAAAATTGAAATTCCGAAAAGATCATTATTCAAGAAAAAACAAAGACAATACTTTACTTATAGAAATAACACTGGTTTAACCTTTAAAACACTTTGATTTTTTTTTAAAAATATCAAATTAGAAAGGAAACTATTAGAACTAAAAGTCGACATTCTTTCATTGGCCTGTAAGCTCAGCGCACGGGAGGGGGTTGCGGGCCAAGCCCGACAATTTATTCAAAATACTCATACTGACCAGGCCGAAATCTTGAAAATGGTTCTAATGCTAATAATTAGGCAAATTTATGTCGTTTTTCTTCATAAAAAATTGTTATGGGCTGTGTCGAAAAACGAAATTTTCGAATACATTTTTTAAGATGTTTAATTAAATTAGACTACCTTAATAATAATAATAATACTAGCATCAATTGCCAATTAAGTCTTTTATTATAGAAATCAAGAAGAAATAAAAATAATCAATTTGTTTGATGTATACCATTATTCTATCTACAATCATTTTACGCATAGTTTTGGCTATTTTAAAATCCTCCGAAATTTGAATGGCATCGAGTTGATGAACTAATTTCATGCATTTTTCGATATTAAGTTCTAAAGATGTAATGAGTTTATTGATGGATTCTTCCTTCATTTTACCATCTAACCAGCCCTAAGTAAAATATTTAAAAAATATATACGATAACACAAATAAGATATTAGTATAGTTTTATATATTTCTTTCTAGCTAGATAGAGAGGATAAGTTAAATATAATGATAATATATATTAAATGGCTGAGCCACATGTCTATAAATTGTCTAATAAAAATATAGGTTGAAGAAAATAAAACATTTTTTAGAAAAATTAGCTAGTAATACTATATTTAAAAATTAACTGTGACGGTTCGATCCATTTTTTGAGAAAGTCAACGTTATTTGGGAGGTTACTTTATTTAGAGAAAGAATCAGTGGCGATAATAAATAACCTTTTTAAAAGTAGCGTTTATTACATTATTTATTTTTTAATAAGTTTAATGTCCATTATATTATTAGCCAGATATATATTTCTAAGAAGACCAGTAAAGATATTTAAATAGAAAATTTTTTTTAGTTCCATGTTTTTATTAAATTTTAAAAAACTCGATTAATATTAGGGTTGTCTGCTTTGCTATTTTTTCCACCAATCAGATCCAATATAATATTTTTTGAAAAAATGAGTGAATCAATTATTTATTTGTTTAATCCATAATATATTATATAAACTCACAACCATTTTAACAAATGATCACATAATTAAATCATCAAAAAACCATTTTATAAAATAAACCGTAAAAAAAATCACATGATAACATAATTGGATTCGTTTTTTGCTAATCTCCCACTTCATGTTCGGTAATCAGGACATCTCTACCCCCACAACCTTTTTCAAATCATATTCCTCGTTGGGAGGTCGTCTCATATTTGTTATAGTATCTGATAGGTATGCAAATTTCCTAGGAAACTTTAATTACGGGAAATTTGGGTAAAAAATGAGGGAAAAGGGATTACTTTAAAAAAAATAATTCACAGGTTAATACTGATTTTTTTCTCATTTTTTATTGAAAACATATAGGCTATTAACATATAATTTTAACAAGTATGATATAATTTATATAATTTGTTAGTTATCGTTTAAAGCTAAAAACGATTCCAGATCAGAGCTTAAACATCCAGAATCGATCCTGAACTTATCAATTATTTAAATTTTATTTGTATATATTTGTTAAAAAAATCTAAAATATCTCCCAATATTTTTTTAACAATTTATTTTAATCATTAAAACTATACCAGCCCGGCAAGTTAGTCTAAAAACTTTAGGAAGCAATCCTATTTTTAAGTACTTGTTTTTCTATTAAAAACTTAAGACTCTTGAAAAGCGGATCTAGAATTAAGCTACCTTATGTAGTAGCTGCACAATAAATCTATCCTTTATTGAGAAATGTTGTCCTGTTTTTAGGGTTTTGATTATTATTGTATCATCTTCAGAAAATTGACAAAATTTTACTAATTTTTGTTTACATATATAAATTTATTTATTGTGAGACAAGAATCTGCGCTCAAATTTCCGAAAATATTTGATAGAAATTGAAGTATATGCATAAAACTCTGCAATCATTGTACTAAGTATATTTATTATGATCATTATGTGGCAGATCATTCAAAAAATTTTGTATTAAGGTCAGACCCTTTAATATATATTCAAACAATTGAGAGGCAGAAAAGTTTAAAAAATAATATCTTAAGAACAGATATAGGAAAAAGATTGAGTATTTTAGATTTGTAGGAAAATATGAGAAAATTTAAAACAATACGTTATTAGATGTTTAATCTTCGTATAAATTTTGACTGGATAAATAAAAATAAAACATATTTAAATTAAATTTATATATTCCCAAAGGAACGAGAGTTGAGAGATTTTTTTTTCATTCAATTGAAATTTTATAAAGAGGAACAAAAATGTTTAAAAAACAATTTTAAAATTAAAATTTCCATGATTCACGGAAAATTTATGTTCAAACTCAATCATGAGCCACGTGCCTAATAATTTAAAATTTATTCACACTCACTCTGTGACCCATCGTTTCACGCATAACTTCATGGCCAATGCCCATCTCTCTAGTTTTACTTTTTCTTCAGAAATAAATAGGTCAATTTGGGTAAATATTCTTACTAAAACAGAAAACGATTGAAGATCTTGATAACAAGAATTGATCAAAAAATATTAATATTGAATATGAATCAGAACAAGAATCAGCCATGGAAAGCTAAACATTTGTTATTGAATGACAATTATTCATTTTACTATTATACAAAATAAGTTAATATTTACTTTAAAAAACATTTATCGCAGCCTTTTAAAAATTTTATTTTTCTAATTTTGTTTAGCCTAGACTCCTTAAAAATATTTTTGGAGTACCATTAGTTTCATAAATCAAACTATTTTTTAACTCAGCTCAGAATTCTGACTATTTTATGGCCAGTTCTGAATTTTTAAGATAATATCATATTACAGCCCACTGTATGAATATATGGGCTATGCCAGATTATGTATAACCTACCTTAGGTATAATATGTTATTAATGTTTCTAAATTTATTGGGTTTGATTCTGCCAAATGCTGTTAGCAAATTGGTATTTTGTTTATTTTTGATTTGAATAGAAGCTATCAAATTTGGTTATAATGGCTATAATATGTATTTAAATTGTAATTTGGAAAGTGTTATAGCCAAGTTGATAAGAGTGCCACTTGCTGATCAGATGGTTTTGGTTTAAAATCTAGCAAGGATCATGTTTTTTTTAGAGCCAACTTGGTGGTTCCATCCTTGAGGGATCATATAGTAGATCAGACTTTGCCATATAATTAGGTTAATATATATATTTAAAAATAAGTGGCTCTTATTGGAAAATATATATTTAGCATTGCCTATTAAAGTAAAAATTGTAAAATTCAATCTGTTAAGTACTGTCATTAACAGTTAGTATCATAACCATTTATGTATACAATGTGTGAATAAAAAAGACTAAGTTTACATTTTTAATATTTATGTATGTTTCTGAGGAAATGTTTAATGATTTTTCAACAATTTTCAATTGCTTTTCAAGGTTTTTAATTTGATCAATCTTATTATTCTCTTCAACTGATTCCTTAAGAAATCATTGTATAATATTTAAAATTAATACTAACTTTTGAACCAATCATCATAATTTTATTGCCATTTTTAATGTTATAATTTAACAATGTGGTTTCCATATGATTTAATTGCTTACCTAAAATGGAAATAAAAACTATGTATCATATTTTTTACCTTTAAAAATATATTTTTGTTTGTTAATTGGTATCTGAGTATTTGTTTCTAATTTTAGAGCTAAATCTTTTAGTGTATATGTTTCAATATTTTCAGGAGCTATCATAACATCAATTCTATTTAAACCTGTTTAAAACAAAAATGTGGCTATAATAACATAAGGTGAAAGTATTAACCATTTTGCACAATTATTTCCATAATTTGAATTTATAAAAACATATGGTAATTAATGCTCCACTAAAAACATTAATATAGATAAACTCTTTTGGGTGGGTTAGTCAACTGACAATATTTAACCATTGTCAATAATATATGTGCTGGATTCTATGTATTTAGACAAAAACTAATTTGCGGATTTTTTTCACTATTCGAAATAATTTGGCCTAAGCTTTGTTTTATATAAATCACATATATATATGTAAATAGTTTTATATACAATAAAAAAAATTTTTTTTTTTAAATTTATATTCATATATTTCAAAAATAGAATCACGGAAATCAAGAAAATATTCTAAAAATACTGAAGTTGGTGGATTATTAATTTATTCTTAATTATATTTAATTTTAAAAATCACATCTTTTCATAGTATATACTGATAAAAGAAAGATGTCGAAATGCTTCTATTAAGCCAATGACTTATTATCCCTATCAAAAATCTTACCCCCCACTCAAGGGTAAAGGAGATAGGGCAAAAACATTTTACTTCTAAATAGTTTGAAGTGGGGTAGGTGCGTTTACAAGAGTGGGGGGAGGGGAGGTCAGTCTAAGAACAATATGTTTTCAATTTATTAGAGGGGGTATGGTATGGGGTAGGTATTTAAAAAGGGGTAAGCTAGAGGCTAAATTTGTTGGGAGTTATTAAATTTTTAGATGAATAAGGCAATATGTATTAATCTATAAATTAATATTTTATTACAGGCCTATTATTATAATATGATATTGCTAAATATCGATCAAATCTATATATTGAACACTCTCGACAAACTATTTCTGGATAATTTTATGGCTATGATTAAAATAACCCATTTATATTCACAATATTTTGACAATTGGTAATAGAGCATTCTTTTTAAAATTTAAGGTGTATAAATTTTTATTATATTATTTGGTCATAATTCATATAATGAATAAACTTTACATCATAGGAAAAAAAATCCATTTCTCATAATATATAATCATACTATTTCACATTATAATATTATTTATTCCAGACCAATCAGCGATTAACTGATGCCTTATAATTATTAATAAAAATTATGCAAGGCCCTTACAAAATTGGGTATTATATTCAGGGTTTCGAACCCCTAAGTATAGAAATTCGGTTCGGCTTTTAGTTCAAAATTTTATAAAGGTTTTGCTCCATTTCGGTCTTTTTCAAAGAAATTCATATCGGTTCGTTCCGGTTTTTATTTCTTTTTTTGCCTATGATATTAATAAAATTAAAGGCCTCTTAACATACTTAAGGTGTTAGTAATGAATTGTGAATACTGATTGTTAGGCCAGTATATTTATAATGAGAGGTTAGACTTCGATGCAAAATCTACACAAGTGTAATCCCAGGTCAGCAAGGGACACTTGTCCAGGGGATAATGGTATACCATCTGGGTATAGGGTGTTTTCATATATCCAAAAAGGGAATGGAAGAAAGAATTATATTTTATGAATTTTTATTATATTTCTATATCTATCGAACAAATATCAGGTTGTCCGCTTGCAACTATTAATTTACTACGAATTTTCTTTATTTAACCAATAAAAAATATTATAATTTTTAAAACGAAAAAAAATGAATTCAAAAATGAATTGAAAAAAATATCAATTGATAATTTACAATTTCGCTTCCCTTTTATAGGGAAGCAATAATCATCACAAATAAATAATTAAAATTTTACAATCTAAAAATATCTTCTTTTACAATTATAAAGCACCTAATCATGCCACAAATTAAAATTATAAGATAAAAATACATTTTTAGAAATTATAAATTATCCCATCATAATGACTTTATAATAATTAACTTTTATAAATCTAAAAATAAAATGTTAACGCGATTAAACTAAAACATAAAATTATAAAAATAACAATGACTCACCAATTTAACTAAAACCTAAAATTATAAATATAAAAATGACTCATCAAACGCAATACATACTGACTTTACCAAAAATCAAATTTTACAAATCAAAGTCTCCCAATTATGATAAAATATATTTTTATTATAAATATACCTATTACAAAAAAAATCATTTTTATTCTTAAAATAATCAGCTTGCAATTGGGCCTAAACCGCTTCAAGTCAGTCAATTTTTTGACTAGAAACTCGACTCACTAAGTCAAATCGTTTAGCTGTTTTACAATATTACCACAAACTATGATTAAAACAAAAATAAAAATGATGAAAAATTGTATAGGAATAGTTAAAATGGCAGCAGAAAAATGATTTTACATGATTTAAATACAGGAAATTTGGCGGAAATTTTTTTTAATATTAGTAATTACAAATTAAATCATAATTTGACAAGATTTGCATAGAAGTTATAGCCTGTTTTTATAGTCAAAACAATAGATTATTATTATAAAATTGTTTCCTATATATAGTCTTTTATAATTATGTCATTTAACTTCTACTAATATGCAATTACATTGACCTCCATAAGATAATATAAAATGTAAGAAATATATAATTCTAGCGTAACCTTTTAATATATATATAAACATTCAAATATAACACCTGTCAACAAATTTTATAACAGGGTTTTGATCAGATACCTTCAAAGGCTGGGCCAGCCCTCGGCCCACATTTTCTAGCGGGCCATTTAAAAGAAATTTTTTTAATTGGCTTGGGTCTAAAATTATTAAATTTAAATTATTAAAAACAGTTGCTAATTTAAAGAAATATTGCCTTTTTTATTCTTTTCTTCTAATAATAATAAATTTCAGTATTGTAAACAAAATGATTGACAAATATATTTAAATATTGTTTATATTAAATAAAAAAAATTAAATTTTTGGATATGGGTTTGGGCTATGTTTGGGAGATTTTTTGAAACTTATCATGGGCTTGGGAATTTTTTTTTACATTAGATATGGGCCATACGGGGCTTGGCCTAAAAAAATTTTTACGCAGGCCTGGGCCAGGCTTGGAATTAGACCATGAAGGTCTCTGGGTTTGATTTCCAATCTTTATTTACCTTCAATCAAAATACTTGGAGTTAATTAACACATGAATTCGAGATCTGCAAAGCTTGGTCAATACCCAATTAAAAAAATTTGGGTCAGACTGGGTTTTATATTTTTTAAATAAATTTGAGTTGGGTTTAAATTTCTAAATAAAATAGTCAATTTAATCAAATAAATTTGATTATTTTAATGCAAGAAACAAGATATCAATATTTTTTATTTGTTAAAAAAAAATATGTCCTGCCTTGCTTTATCCCAAATTTTTTTATCTAACAAAAAACCTGTCCCAAATTTAAAATTTGTTGCCCACTCTGTCTCAAATTAATTTTAATATTTTTTTAAAAAAAATTGAGGCAAGATTTAAAAGTTAGACCCAATGTTGATCCCTGTGAAATTTCTCTTCTTTCTCTCAGTTAAATCAGATATTTGTGGATGTTGTTTTCTAAAGAGTTTTTTTTTACAAAATTCCTTATATTATCAAAATAAATGCCATATGGTTTCAAGTTTTATATAAATAAATATAATTTAATATTTTTTAATTGTAAAAAAAAATTATTCAACCAATAATAAAAAATATTGGCACTAGTCAACTAATTTTGTTATGTAGCGTCATGTTTGGAAGAACTCAGCTAATTAACAACACTAATAACAACCTATCCTAGGATGCCAGATTATAAATCCACCAAACTCTAGATGAGTGAATTATACTAATTGTATTTGGAGGGAAAAGGAATATATTGGAAGATTTTGTAAAATTTAGAAATGTTTAAATGGGGTTGATGGAAATATGTTTCGCAAATGGTTGCTTGATGTCTAACAAGCTGGCTCTTAGTTTAATTCTAAAAGGTATCATATGGCTGCAAGTCTTCTAAATGCCCCAATTAAAATTGGCATATATCTTTATTGGATTTTTTATGCAATTTTTGCTGCAAAGACATGATCTGAATCATTATTCTATTCAAACACTTGTTTATGGAATGGAGTTATATTTTATATAAGATTGGTCCAGATTATCGTAAACTTCAACTGAATTAAGTTAAAAGAAATTGAATAGGTTTTATTATTTAGATGAGTGAAAAGAGTTGATTAGGTCCAGATGATATTAAAGTTAACAATAGATATTGTGGAAGGAGTTTTAAAAGAACTTAAAGAAATCTAGATGATATATTTTGATAAAACATTTGTTACTGCATTCCATCAATCTTCAGATGTTTGTGATATTAAGATTATCCATTTATTTAACTAGTAGAAAGAATCCATTGATTTATTGTGAAGTACTGATTGGTGCAATTATAATTATATTATGAGTTGATGTTAAAAATATATTGGTCTTCTTAAGTTGGTAATCCTAATGTAATATGTGGGATCAATACTTGAAAAAGAGATTACCTATTTTGTTATATACTTATCTGTATTTTGTATATTATTTAGAGATAAATCCTGCTAGGTAATTTCTTACTTTCAATTTTATAATTTAAATAATGCTGTGACAGTATTAATTTGTAAGATATTTGTATGAATAACTTTTTTGGGAAGGTTTATTCATATAATCATTTTATTTTGCTTTTGATATTAATTTTAGAAGATTGAATTGAAATATTATCAGGAATTTTACTTGGCTTATATAGTTCCTTCTTGATTGAATCCAGATCACCATTATGAAATTTTAATAGGATTCATTACTAACTTTAGGACTAAAATAAATATGTCTCTCAATTATTTATCTTGTACCCATCCTGCAACTCCATTTCATTGAATAATTCCAGAATCTTAACATGTTCCAATAATAACCCATCCACTTGTCTATAAAAATACATAAAATAATTGTTACATCACAACAAATTAATTTATTTTTACTAATTGTTTACAAATTTATTTAAAAGAAAAAAATAATAAAGAATGCCCATCAAACTGAGATAAAAAGAATGGAAACAAAATTGAGAAGAACCATCCACCTTTTTTTTACCTGTGTACGCTAGGTGCAAAGCCACTTAAAAGCATATGGTAAATAAAGAGAAATACAAAATAAAAGAAATATTAATTTATATAATAGATGGCGTATAAATAAAATCTAAAATAAATTATATTTTGTTTTATCAGTTAATTTATTTTTGAGATAATAAACCACTTAATTAAGTGAATGAATAGTTTACTCAAGAGACTTTATTGATTAAAATAAAATTTATGCTTATTTATAAAAAATATTAATCATGTTGTTTTAAATCCGACCAGGTTTAAGTAACAAATAAAATGTGATATCTATAAATAATGAAATACAGCATACATTCAATTTTGGACCTAGAGCTACCATTTTTATAAATAATCTTAAAATTGATTTGTGACTTAATTGTTGTAATAAATAATTATCTTTAGATATCATCTGCTCAGAGAGTTAAGTATCACATGATTCGTTTAATTTTATGTTGCGCAACTCATACTACTACTAAACCTATCCTATCTCATCTCTACTATTCTACTTATATAGATTCAAATCCACCAATCACCGTGCAGTATCAATTAATTTTAATTTCTTTACATAATATTGATGTTAAATATAAGTCCGCAAGTAAATAATATTTGATTGTAAAAAATGGCATTTTTAGAAGAATAAAATTGAGCGCGAGGAAATTAATAAATAACGATAAATTATATTGCAAAATTTAAGACTCTACCCCAGCAACTCACTTTGTGACTGACATAAGCGGGAAGCGGTGCGGTTTGTCTTGTTCGTCCCTGCGAGGAAATTAATTAATCAAGTTCTTTTATCCTTCTAAGAATCGCGTAAAATAATGTCAATCAAAAAGGCGGTGGTTTTAATAAATAATAATAAAATTTATCCAAAAATAAATTCGGAATTAATTCTTCGTTCAAATTATATTATAAAAAATATTTAGGAAAAAGTGTTTATGAGTCAACAAAAAAGAGCGGTGCGCGCGCCGGTATTTTATCGATTTAATTGTTAAAAAAAATGTTTTATCTTCCCCGAATAAATAATTACGAAATATATACAACACAATAGATAGATTAGAATGACATGTTATAAATATTTAAAAATGTGACACACATCAATCACGAGTTTCTTTCGGTTATGTAGATAGATTCGCCGGGTGTCAGTAAAATAAATACATTCATATATAATATATTTACACAATATTTATATTCATCAAACCTTGTTTACTTTTACTACACTTTGTTTACTTCGATTTGACATAGCAGTTTTCTCGTCTTATTCCTAAATATTCTTCCCGTAGTCGTTCCGTTCGGTGTGCTCCCAATTTGAAAAGTTGGTGATGCGACTGGCGGGGCGAATGCGGAATCAAGTATGTGGCGATAGGTCCAAAACACAAAAGGCAATTCCTGAAAAGGAAAAGCCAAATATTTTTATTTCTATCCTCTAAAGCCCAGTCTACTAGAATCTATACAGATACCTTCTATATTTTTAAATATTCCTATTTTTATAGTCTAGCCGACTCACAAATAGTGGCAAGCCAAGTCGACTAGCTTCGACTCGAGCCTAGTTTCAAGTCGATAAAACAACTCCGACTTGAATCGACTTAGTGAGCCTAAAGCTCATCTATCTCCAGATCTCTAACTAGATTCTATACAGATACCTTCTATATTTAATATTCCTATTTTTAGTCTACACTCACAAATAGTGTTGTTAAACGGCTAAGCCAAGTCGACTTAGCTTCGACTCGAGCCTATTTCTAATCGATAAAACAACTCCCACTCTAATCGACTTAGTGAGCCGACTACTGCGGCTTCGTTTAGTTGATTCGCTGGGTCTGCTCAATTTTTTTTATTTATAAGTAAATTATATTTACTTAAACGACTAACTCAAGTGTAAGTTAAAATTGTTAAATTTTGTGGATTACTGATTAATGTGAACAAAAATTATAATAAGAATATTTATCTCATAACTAATAATGGTTCTGGACCCTCGGCTTCCTTAATTTGGTGGAAATTTTGATAACATGAACTTAATAAGCCTGCTCAAGAGTTGGCGTCGGCTCAGGAATCAGCTCAAGCCGACTTTGGGCCGATATTTTATTTGTTTGTTAAACTCAACTTGGTACTAAACTTAAAGTTGAAAAATTGATTGAGGCTTAAGCCGGTTCATTGAAACATTTGAGTCGGATCATGGCTCAGAATTTAGCAAAATCTTCAGACTTACATAATATTTTTTTGAATAAAATATTGAGTTATCCGTTTTTAAAAATCGGCTCAAAAATGGCCGTTTAACAACACTACCCAAAATTTAACAATTTAGTAATATAATTTACTTACAAATAAAAATTGAGCAGACCCATAGAGTCGATTAAACGAGCCAACTAAGTGAGCCGACTAAGCGAGTCGGCTCATGCGACTTCTTGATCGGTTTGAGTCGAAGCTGTTTTTTACGACTACGACTCGAGTCGCAAGTTGTAAGAACTCTACTTTTTAGCAACACTACTCACCAAACCTTATGTCGTCCCGTAGCTATAACTTTGAGCTTATTTCTTCCCCTCATTATATTTTAAAAAACTGCCCAACAAAATTAAATCTATAAATAAAAATTCTTATTTAATAAAAACGAACCGGACATTTCATAATTTCCGACCTTTCATTAAAATCTTGATATATTTTTTTGAATTTCAAACTCATATAGCCAAATGTTTTAAATGCAGCTTTTAAAAGTAGTGCGCCATCGCTACTGCTTTTTTTCAAAAAAGTATTTTAAAAGATTTTTTACATATCTCTTTTCCATAAGTAAAAATTATTGAATGATTAAAATTTTAACTATATAATTTATAACATTTCCACACTGTCATCCTCATCCCCAAACTAGAGCGATGATTAGATTAGAAAATATGAGCTCTTAACAATCGTTTAACACTAGCACTTTATGGCAATGCACTATTAAATTTAACATATTTCTTATAAGAAAAATAATCAAATATAATTATTTGAGTATTCTTATATTTAAAAAAATGCATCTAGAAAGTTTCATTTACAATAGTATTATTATTTTAAAATAAAATTGAATGAAATGAAAATCAGCTTTATTAAATAAATTTGCGATATGAAGGGTATAAATAAATAATTTCAACATAGCGAATGATTTAGGATTCAGAATTATTTATTGATAGTGATACAAACCTATTTTGAAGGATATTTTTTTGTTTCAACCTTCTTTTTTATTTTAAACATGCCACTATTTTTTCTCTTTTAAGGTGTGTCCAATATATCAAAAAAAAATAAGATTTTAGCTAACTCACTAACTAGCGGGGCTAAACATCAGGGAGTAAAATCGCAAATAAAAGAATTTAATTGCATATGAAAAAATTATTAAAATATAAAAACGATAAAAAAAGTGGAATTGTTTAATGTGCGGCAAAATTTGTAAAAAAACGGGCTGTATAAAGTGCACCAAATGTTCCGAATGGGCATATTCAAGTTGTGCTAGGAATGATCCATTTTTAAATTTTTATTCTTTATAAATACTCTGTGTTCATTATAACAATAAAAATTTTGTGTGTTGAATTGTAAATTTGTCACTCAACCCCAAAGGTCTTGCTATCTTACACACCGCCGTAGTTAAATAGTAATAAGCACTACTTTTGCATAACCCTAAAAAGCGCTCTAAGTATAGAAGGATGAAAGCCTTTTTGAAATTTGTAAAATAAAATTAAAATTTTATGGTAAAAGAACAAAATCCCATAACTATTTATCCTTTTGAGATAGTAATTTTTAAAAGTAACTAGTTACTCTTCAAAAGTAACTTTTAATAAAAAAGCTCAAAATTTCCATTAAGATCTTAGAAAGATTTATCATATTATTATTATTAACAAATTTATATATCATGTTCTGAACTCCATAACTTTAAATGATAGGAGTAGAGGCTTAGTAGCACATCTGTATGTTGTAAAATATTTTAAATTTAAATTTTTCACTTCAAATAATCAATCTAATATTTGGGTAGTTTAATTTTTCAAAAGGGGGTGTATCATTAATTTATTTTTCTGGAATCCCCACCTTTTGTCTCTTAGCATCTTTTCCTTTAAAAATTTGGCACGACCCGGGGGGAATTTAGTATTTGCCTGGTCCAACAAAATTTTTTCCCAGAACCGATTTCAATTTTTTTTGCTAAGGTTGCTCACTCCGGTTTTATATTTTACTAAAGTTTTCCCGCCCGATTTTTTTTAAAATCCATATTATATTTTTTTCAATATAAGTCCTAACCTGAAATACTTTTGGTTGAATACCAAAATAGACAACTATATATGATATTGGGGACCAGGTGCGTACGCAGGAATTTAGTCTGGGGGGGGGGGGGGGGATAATAAATTTTTTAAAGAAATATTATTGTTTTTAAATATCAAGCATAAATTTATTAGGACTAATAACTATTTCTAATACACAATTTTAAATTTATGTGAATTATAAAAAAATTATATGTAAAGAATCACTTACAAAATAGAAATTTGAATTTTTTGAGCCTTTACCTAAAAAGTTTCTTAGGAATAATTGTATTTTGTATGTTATATATTTGCAATGTAAAATCCAATCTTCGTTGGGATTGAGCTAATTTTTCAACTATCTCATCCTTGCTTGTCGTTAAATGCCTATGAATATTCAAAAGATCCAAACCTTTCAATTTACTTTCAGATGTTGTACTTCTTGGTATGTTTTTCAGAGACCTGCAGGCATGGCCCCCGGGCCGAACAGTAATTTAATTTTTCTAAATATATCCGGGCCGGGCCCGAAATTTTTTTTAAAAAAACCGGGCCATAAAAAATCTTTAAAAAAAATCCGGGCCGTGCCCAGCATATGGTACTTCTGCAGGCCTCTGTTATTCATCTTAAAAAAGAGAATGTTCACTCCTTAATTTACTAATGGAAAGAGTTTATAAACCCTTTTAATACATTGAGAATTTAATCTAAAATGAGTTATTCACTAGTAAGGCATCATAATATACTTTAACATCTTCATGATAAAAATCTAACAAATATTTTTTTTTGTCACCATCTGAAAAAGGTTGAGAAGGCTTTTGTGGAAGTAATATTTGCAGATTGGTGAGTGCTGCATGATGAATTAAAAACCCATTCATTTATTTGGGTTATAATTGTATTTCTACTGATCCTATATTAATGTTTTAACTATAAGCTTGCCTTGCTGCAAGTCGAGAGAGACAAATATTAAACACGTATAGCTCTGCTTTTGACTTAACAATAATATAAAAAATATGAGATTCTTCATCAACATTCGCCCTAATTTCCTTGAATTCTAATAAAATGCTCTCCGCTATTCTTATCTTCTTAATCAAGTCAATGTCATGTTTTTGAAAAGTAATACTTAAAATAGTTGTATAATTAAATAATACATTCTAATGAGAAATAAAATTTAGAATAAGCATTGAATCCAATAATTTTCTTGCAGGAAATATTTCTTTCAGGCCATTGTGATATTTCAGTAATAACAAATAATTGGCTCTTCTAATCCTTAAAAGCTGTTACTGCTTGATGGCAGATACTCTATCTCGTTGTATAAGGTTGCAATTTCTTTCTCCCTGACAAGAAGTTTCAGAAATAATTATTATTTGACTAGAAATTTGAAAATGGTAGATAAATATTACGCCACTAAAAATTTGAACGCCGGAAAACTTGAAATCGAAATTAATTGATAAAATAACTTATGAATGTGATAATAAATATAATTAAATATATATTTAATATGAGATACGAATGAATATTTGCAAATATAAATTAATATAAACAATAATATTTTTAAAAAATATATCCGGCATTAAAAACATTATACTTAATGGATTTTCCTATCTATCAAATATCAGAATTCATCAAATAAGTCTAATTCTCTAGTATTTCTGCCTCCAGTAATAATTACCTTGTTTTGAGATAAAATTAAATAACCTAATAAAAATAAATCGTCATCATTAGAATTATAAGCCAACAGACGTGTACCAAGCGAAAAGGGAGACCCTCATAACAAAAATTTTTTAAAAAATATATAAGATTTTCGTGAATTGTTAAGTGCAAACGATTCTATTTCAAATAGAATTATATTATATTTTAAATTTTAGTATAAATATTTCTTTCTTTGTGTGTAATAATATGAAAATTTTGGGTGCGGTCCAAAGTCTTTTCAAAAATAAAATAGCATTTATATATTATGTATCTTAACTAGATTTCGTAAATTACAATAATAATTTTATATTTTAAATATAGTATACTTTCTTACATTTTTTAAAATAGATATAAGATAATTTTGTCAGCCAAAAAAAATTTATTTTATTTATTTATACTAACAACTATGATTAGACAACATTTCTTAGAGTATGTAAAAATTGTCAGATATCCAAAAAAGACAGTATTTGGTGAATATAATTATTTCCGAGACGTCTTTTGATACAAGAAAAAAGAAACTGCAAAGAGCATGCCCGACAAGATGGAGCCTTCGTCATCAAGTTGTTACAGCACTTTTGAATCTAGAAGACCTAATTTGAATGCCCTTGAAATATTAGAATGGCCCGAACCTAGATACATTATTAGATTCAATATGATAGCTAAATTTTTTATGTATTGAATATATTAATAAATTATTTGATTACACCGGCCAATATTTAAGAAAATGACTATGAGAATCGTGAATATTATTATGTTATACTTGAAAATTAATAGATAATATCGAACATTTCACGAATGTGATTGTTGAGACGAAAGTTAAATTATATGTGAGAAAACAAATGGTTTCAATGTTAACATGGACATCTTTTTTTTCTTTTTAGATTTCACCTTTTCTGGTGGTAAGCTCCTTCAATATCTCTCTCCACTTTATGTTATTCATGTTATCTCTTTTATCTAATTATATTTCTTCATATTGGCTCTAACTTGTTTTGGCTATCTTTTACGTTTATTCATCACTTCCAATAGGCCTTCTCATCGTGTGTCCATACCACCTAAGTTTGCACTTTAAACTTCCTAATATTCTTGTACTTCGCACCTTATCCTTTCTACCCCAGCAAAGATTATTATCTCATGTTCTATTGTTCAAAAAAAATATAATCCATTAATTTAACATTTTTTTGAATTAATCATTATGGGTGTAAGGGAGAACTATTTATTAATCATCAAATAAAGAAATCTTTTTTTCCTTATAGATTAATTTACAATAAAAAAAACAAGGCATTAAATAAATAGGTTATTTGACCATAAATAAATATCTCATGATGAAGTTCATAGGAATTTAATTTGTTTCAAATTGGGCTTATATGGACAGATAGAGGAAAATAATTCAAGTGTTTTTATAATTATATTTAATAATGAGATGGTGGATATTTTCCGTAACATTTTAATTAAGCCATAATATTTTATCATGAGATCCAGAAGGTTGAATTTATTAGACAAATTCTTTGAGAGTTTTGTTAGCATTTCTCAAACAAAATTGATACTATTTTTAAATTTATATCGGTGCGAAATTCTTAAAATAATGTGTCATTTTCCCAAAAATGTAGCAATTACAAATGGAAAGGGCCTGAGAGCATTGCAAAAGTCTACAATGAGTGGATACTTAGCTATGCGGGATAAGAAAAGTGAACATGGGCTCGCTGATCTATTTTTTTCCCTAATACGATGGGAAGGCTGTTTAGGGTTGTGGGCTAATTAAATCCTTAATTCATATATTCCAAGTTTAGTTATTTTAACCTTTCATTTTTATAACACAAAAATAATTTTTAATGTATTCATAATTGCAATCATTTATGACTAAATCTTCATATAAAAAATTTTTTTTAGTTCCACAAGGATAAAGAATCTATATTAAACATTACAAAAGGATAACTATCGTGGTAACAATTTTTAGTAAACTAGTGTGTGCCTGTCAATATAAAACCGATCTTTTATATTCTATAAAGCAATTGATTGCTAAGACATATTTTTTTAAAAAAGGTGTAATTATTTAGGATAGTCTTTTATATTCTAATGTTATGAATTTAAATTTAATCAATTAAAAGTGATTACAAATAGAATTAATTTACGATTCTTATTATATATATTCATTGTATAAATATTATTTATAATAATTAGAAGACATAAATTTTTTAATTCTAAGAAAAATTAGTGTTTTGAATTATTATTTCTTTTTGTATTTAACCATATTTAAAGCAAATAAGAAGATGGTTAAAATTATCAAACGATTAGAAAAAAAATAATAATAAAACTATAAAAAATATTACATGTTTTTCAAAATTTCTATTGTCTTTTCAATTTACTATTTTAGGAATATTAAAAAATTATATTTTTAAGGGGATGGACAGGTAAAAGTAATATGATAAAGGATAAACATTGTCATCTATTTCTTAATGTAATAAAACATAATAGATATTAATAATTTTAATTAAAAAAAAATGCAAACCTATATATAGTGATACCCGATCAACGAATCATTTAAATATAATTTTAAAACTTATAATAAAATAATTTAAGATAACTATATTATTAAATTATATTTTTTTTTGATATAATAAAGTATCGATGGAATTCAAATGTATAAATAAAAATGCTCAGAATTTATATGAGAAATTCAATGAAAAAAAAGGGGAGGACAGCGGAATCTCTGACCAAACATCAGGTTCCTCCTGCAACTTCAGTGTTATATCAGATACACTGAGCACGATCGATAAGGATAGCAATCGAGATTCAGCATGCATCAAAGATACGATTCACTCCATTGCCAAACCGATAGATTCTAAAATTTTGATGTATAAAGTCGTGGATAAATTGGTAGACTCAACTCTGGCCGCGAATAAAAGTTCTAACCTTCAAATGAAGTTTGAAATAAGAAATCCTTATCCAAATGAAATACGAAAAATATATGATTGGAGGAAAGAAGAATTTGGCCATAGAACTCATTGGGATTATTTTATGTCGCTTTACAATTGTTATCCATCTGGCTGGATAGTCGCAGTTGATGAAAAGGGCAAGATATTAGGTATATTAATATATAAAAAAATGTTATTTATTCACGATTAATAATAAAATAGGATATAAAAATTCAAGATCAACTAATTATTATTTATTATTATGTAATAGGATCAATATTTGCAATGAATATGAACGACGATCAAGCCTTTGGTGGAATATTCGCTGTTAAAAAATCATACAGATGCCATGGAATCGGTGGTCAATTATGGAAGGTCCGTTTAAATCACATTGGTAATCGCAATTTCGGAATCAATGCTGTCGAATCTCGAATAGTACCGAACGAAAAACTAGGAATGAAACTAGCATTCAGAAGTAAATTAATATATCCCAAAAATATATAGAATTTATTTTTTTCCCCTTATAATATAGTGTCAAAATATTACGGAAGACTTACTTCGAGCGTCATTAATGCTTTCAAGCTCAAATTTATCCATAAATCTGACGATTATACCTTTAATAAATTGTCCAACATACAACAAATCTCTCAAGGAAATGACAAATCTCTGATGCGTTTACTCATAGACTATGACACGCAGATAAATACGGTATCTCGTTCTCAATTTATAGAAGAGGCAGTGAGCCATTATGAACACACGATAACTATTGTATGCACAGAAGATATCACTATTATAAAAAATGATAATAAAATAGAAAAGTTTCCTAAAGTAGTTGGATACGGAATGTTGAAGCCTACTATCGAAGGTTACTCCATACAGCCCCTCCATGCAAATTCTCCAGATATTGCAGAATCGATATTCAGACATTTGCTTAATTACATGACACCTAATTCCCTCATTGACATAACAATAATCGACGATGACAGAAAATTCCCTGCCAAGACGTTGACCGATGCCTTAGAAAATATGGCTCGCCTAAGATGCGTTAAAAACATCATAGCAAATTTGGAACTCGAACTAGAATACCACTTGTATCGGATGTATTCAAAAGGTGACGTTTCTTTGCCCACCAATAAAGTGTTCGCCATGAATAGTTCCGAGGCATTTTCGTTGTAAAAGAAAATAATTTTTGATATTTTGTACAAACGCATTTGAATTTGTATACCATTTTATATATACTATAAATTTTGTCTTTATTTAGTTCATACTATAATATTAATAAAAGATAAATATTATAACTTTACATTTTATTTCGTCCAAATTAAGTTAAAAAAATAAAAGGAAACGTCAAAAAATTTAGAATCTTACTCAAGAGATATTAAGCCACTAAAGTGAAAGAAAATATTTTCAATATTCGTCAGATTTACTTAATACTACATATGATACTTCAAAAAAAATCCTACATTTGAAAAAAAGTAACGTGTTAGTTATCGTTACCTTGTGAAAAAACGAAACGCCTTATTTAAAAAAAGCTACGCGATATAAAAAATTTAATACTATTTTAAAATTATCAAAACTACTTCAAGTATAATCATTATCGACATAAATTATAATCGATGAATGTTTCTACAAAAATTATGACTTTTGAAATCTAAACGGTGATTAGTCATGAGGAGCATAACATGTCTTCAAAATGTTACGTTAATTTTCTAACAAATAAGGTGTTCAGTAGTGTTGTTAAAACGCCGCTAGTCGCGACCCCGACCCAAAGCTCGGGTCGTTTTATTCGACTCCGACTCAATGTTTGGGTCGTTTTTTTCGACTTCGACCCGAGTTCAAGCCGAAAAAAACGACTTCGACCCAAAATATGGGTCGTTTTTTTCGACTTCGACCCAAGCCCAAGCCGAAAAAAACGACCTCGACCCAAAATATGGGTCGTTTTTTACGACTCCGACTCAAAATTTGGGTTGTATTTTTCGACTCAAACTTGAAATTTGGGTCGTATTTTTCGACTCAAACTTGAAGTTAGGGTCGCATTTTTCGACTCCAACTTGAAGTTTAGATCGTATTTTTCGACTCCAACTCAAAGTTTGGGTCGTTTTTCTGACTCAGACTCAAACATCGGGTCGTTTTATTCAATCCGACCCAAAATATGGATCGTTTTTTTTAAGACGCCTTAAAGTTAGGGTTGCTTTTTTTCACCTAACCAAATATGAACTTTTTCAAATTTTTTTAAAGGAAATAGCTAAAAATATATATTCTAAACATGTTAAATTAAAAATTCAGTGAGGATGTATCATAGATAGGTGACATTTGTCATATTCGTTATTTTTGAACCTTTTTTAATTTTTTAAAGGAAATAGCTAAAAATATATATTCTAAACATGTTAAATTAAAAATTCAGTGAGGATGTATCACAGATAAGGGACAAAAAATGGTTATTATATATACGAGTAGTTAGGTACATAATAATCCTTAAGTGATAAAATGAGATGCTAATATATTTCTTGTAATTTTAATTTATAATAAAATTCTTAAATATGTTATTGTCATAGACTGGGTTAGAAAATCAACTATCACATAAACTCATCTATGTTTTATTCATATTATATTTTTAAGTTTGAGGATATAAAAATATTTCTTCTTTGAAGTTACTAGTTAGGATAAAATTTACTTGGCACATCTTACAATGATATTTATACCTTGTTTTTTTTTTCGAGAATAAATTTTATGCGATATCTCTTGAAGGAAATTACATATCATTGTACAGAGAATTAACTTTGTATATATTATCTGCACCCATATCTTTTATATCAATCTCTATCGATGACATTTTAAATTATATTGGAAACTAGATTGTGTAGATTTCTAAATATTAATTTAAAATAAGATGCTAGAATTAATTATAGATATATCTTAATAATTTGTATATGCATTTATTATTTAAAATCTCTCGTTTTAACCCTATTTAGCAAGAAAAATATTGACTAATCCTGAAAATTGGACAACTTTTATTAATAAAATTTATGTTAATCTCTAAAATTGAATTATAATTTTAAAAACAAAAAATGAATAAAAAAAAAAATTAAAATTTAATTTGGCTACCCTCAAAAATAATAAAAAAAATTTGGAAAGTTAAAAAAAATGATTATTAATCATATCCCTATCCCTAACAATGAAGAAAAGAAAAAATCTCAACAAATTTGCCGTCTAGCTGGTGCCACGCCATGTAAAATAAAATATCTTTTTTAATTTTAGAATTTAAATAGTCACTTCACTTCCATATGGAATTTTTAAACTAATAAAACAATAAATTTTTTTTATAAGTATTTGCGATTCCGGATGCATTTTTTTAATATAAAATATGAATTTTTTTAAATATAATTTAGTAATTTAGGCGAGCCATATTTTTCAAAAATGTAGTGTTAAGTCGAGTTTTTTTAAGTCGTACTGTAATTCTGAGCGTTTTCCGTACTTTTGCATGATGGCTAAAGATTTTTTGTCGCAGCAAAGTACATCCGTTGAGAACGAGCGTGTTTTCTCAAGAGGGGTGGACACCGTAACAAATAAAAGAAATCGCATGGCCTCCGAAACACTTAAACAGTGTTTATGTTTAAATTCATGGGATATCAATATCATGAATAATAAATTTTATACATAATTTTTATATCTATATATATTGTTAAATTAAATTTTTTGTACATTAATAAATATATATAATTTAAATAAAAATATTTAAACTATAAATGTATCAAATATTTAAATGTTTTGAGCTTAGTGTTCTTGTTTCAGGCTGTTGTTTTTTATGAATACTGGAGAATATTAGTGTTTTAATATTATTTGACTTTAAATTGATAACTAAAATAGTTTTTGATATTAAGATTTAGAATTTTGAACACTTGAGAAAAATTACACATTAAAATTAATACTGGGATTAACTTTGAACCATGTTATAAAGCGCTTACTTTTTTTCAGGCGTTAATTATTCACTATTTTATTAAGTAGAATATTATAAGAGCAATTTTTCTAATAGATTATATAAAGGTATAGATATCTATTATCAATTACAGAATTAGTCAATATTTTTCTTGCTAAATAGGCTTAAAACGAGAGATTTTAAATAATAAATGCATATACAAATTATTAAGATATATCTATAATTAATTCTAGCATCTTAATCTTTTAAATTAATATTTAGAAATCTACACAATCTAGTTTCCAATATAATTTAAAATGTCATCGATAGAGATTGATATAAAAGATATGGGTGCAGATAATATATACAAAGTTATTTCTCTGTACAATGATATGTAATTTCCTTCATGAGATATCGCATAAAATTTATTCTCGAAAAAAAACAAATATAAATATCATTGTAAGATGTGCCAAGTAAATTTTATCCTAACTAGTAACTTCAAAGAGAAAATATTTTTATATCCTCAAACTTAAAAATATAATATGAATAAAACATAGATGAGTTTATGTGATAGTTGATTTTCTAACCCAGTCTATGACAATAACATATTTAAGAATTTTATTATAAATTAAAATTACAAGAAATATATTAGCATCTCATTTTATCACTTAAGGATTATTATGTACCTAACTACTCGTATATATAATAACCATTTTTTGTCCCTTATCTGTGATACATCCTCACTGATATTTTAATTTAACATGTTTAGGATATATTTTTTTAGCTATTTCCTTTAAAAAAATTTGAAAAAGTTCAGTGTTCAGTAGCATTTTTAACATAATTTTTTTTTAAAGTATAATAAATTTTTCTTTGTAGAATTTATTCTGCTGGACACTTAATTTTGTCTCTTTTATTATTCATTTTTTTTACTATTTATATTTAAGAATTATAATTTAATAATTATGAATTTATAAAAATGTGAGAAAAATAAAGAAAGCCCTTTTTATAAGTTCGGCCTTATTAAAATATATTTTTCAAATGTGACTAGATACCGATGCAGATACATTTTTATAATAATATATAAACCTATATAATAATAATGTTAGAAAAATAACTTATATAGGAATATATCTAGATAGTTATGCGCATAAAATAAATTTTTAGGGAAAATTCCATTCTTTTTTTAAAAAAAATAACAAGTTTACTGAGGTTTTTTTATAAAATCCAATCATAATAACTTATAATCTGCAAACAATCTAATAGAAACCGCGTCAAAGTAGCGATAGAGGTTTACTGTTCACCTTCATTTATTGGATCCCTTAAAGTTTCCCTAAATATGTATGGCTATGCTCAATATTCGATTAATTAATCCAATAAAAAAAATTAATTTAAAAAAACGTTTTTAGTACCCATTGATCAAATGTAGAGTTGTACATTTACAAAAAAAAATGACGCATTCGAATTTATAATATTTTATATTAATATAATCCTAAAACTTTAGGCTGCATCCCAAAAAGTAAGAATTTACATAATTAGTTTACCACTTTAAATACCCCATTTAATAATGATAGAAAGGAAAGTTGCGAGTGACTAGGGAATAAATGGCCACAATAATCATGACTAATTTTATCATTAAGATTATAAATGATGTGTGTATTAATTTAAATATTAGTATATTTTTATAATTATAAGTTATTAATAGTAAACCTTATTGCCATGACCTGAACCAATATCGGTTCGGGTTCAGATAAAAATAACAGATGAGGTTTGTTTTGGAAAGGTCTCCATGAATATATTCTATATTTTTATAGTTCATATTAGTGATAAATTCTTTATGTTATTCCTTTATATTCATCTTTATCTTGCTATACAAAAAATAATATCAAATCGAAATCTTTAATTTCAAAAACAAATTATTAACATTAATATAGGTCGGCTCTGTCTCATTTTAGGACCATATTATAGCTCATTCAACTAACGAGTATTCCGTTATAATATGTCTATCCACAGTAAACCCTAAAACAAATTATTTATTGTTGGATTCATATTTTACGAATAGAAGATGGATTTATTCGATTCAAAAATTAGATTTTAAAATGGATAAAACAAAAATATTTTTTTCGAATAATATCATTTTCATCATTTGATTAGAATCAATATTCATCGTGTTGTTCAAAAATATTAGTATATTAAAAGTAATTATTCCAAATATCAAAATAATGTTTTTGTAAATGTTTTAAAGTTAAAATCCTAAATATTCAAAATTAATCGTAAGAATATTA